AAAAAAAAAAAAAAAGAGACTTCATTGAATTATTGGGTAAAAAATGAACCAAGATCAATAGCAGTTGTCAATTACCCCCATTGCCCTCTTTCATCCCATCTTCCATTTACATCAAGATCTGTGAAGTTCATATCTTCTCTGGTGACATCTTGTCTCAGATTTGTGAAGTCCAAAGCATTTTGCCGATGAGAAAACCCATGAGATCATCAAGCAGAAGAAGATGGTTAGGTGAGTTTAATAGGAAGTAGAATACCATTGATGCTTGAGAAATCCATTACCATGACCTATGAATCTATGATTGATGTCGACGAATTCCATCTTCAATTCAGCTATTAAAATGATTTTTGATGTTTGAATAAAAGATACAAAATTGGAGAAGTCGCGACGAAGACAGGGACAAAAAAGAAAGATCATATCTTATCCTAAGTAATCCCATGGGGTAGATGGGATATTTTTTTTTGTTATGAACTCAGGATAGGACAAAACATTACAGCAGTTATCTCATTCGATGTTGGCCCCAAACATGAGACATAATGACACTAGATATAAATTTCATCCTATCCCATGTCTTATCCGGTATTCCAAACGTGCCATTAAGGATTGAAATCAGGAAAAGCCACTCTGGCTCAGGGCCCATGTCCATAGCTGGGCACTTAACCTTCTCTTCTCCATATTTTAGCGGTTTAGCCTGCCGTATTCTGCAATCAAGAATGGGGAATCTAATGCATTCACTCTTCTTGGAATTAGTAACTTAAAATAAAATTGAATATGGGCAAAGAACAAATTGCACATGCTTCGTATATTGTTTGGGGTAGGTGAATATAACCCCTAGACTATAAATATGAGCATATGTACCTTAAGTGGTTTTCTTTTCTTGAAAAAGAGAAATTATTTAGCCTCTAATATGGCAGTAGAAGACAATAAGGAAGTTACAACCTACAATAACATATGAATTGAGTGACCTTATTAGAAGCTTTGTTTACGTAGTGAAAGAGACATTGGTTTAGTTTAAATACAATTATCTTAATTTTTTATAACAATGAGTTTATAAGAATGAAAACATACTATAAATAAGTTAGATGATATTCACTATCCCTAAATTAGCCTGCCCCATTATGATCTCTACCAATACATCCCATGCACGCCCCCTCTATGTGAATCTTGCCTTTATTATAGCAACCACCTCTAACCAAGTACAGCTACCGTTTGGTATATAAAAATATAATAACAAAATAATTGTAAGTTTGACTTAAATGTAGGGCCCTTATAGGAAAAGAAACAAAAGAAAGAAAATAAGAGTGACATTTATAACTTTCTAATTTTTTCAAAATTTCAATGATGTTATTATTATTTTTATTGGCCATCCAATGATGTTAGTTCATGTGAGGCAGAGTGCGTTAGCCCCCAAACCATTTGGAGCAAATTGAACATTTTTTGTGAATCTGGAGCAAAAAGCGCCGGTCTCAAATCACAAAGGTGCATGCATGTGTAATATTTCCTAAAAAAAAAAAAAAAATACCACTAGTTGTCGGATTCGAAATCGGAGACGGACCCATCTCATTTATGTTTATGGGCTCAGAAGACCACCATTGACCTTGACAATCTCGATGAATTTTTTTTACCATGAAAATAGAGTTTTTTTTTTTTTTTAAAGGTTAAATTCATAATTTGATTTTTAAATTATTGTATAGATAGTTAATTTGATCTTCAAATTAAAAAAATTTTTAATTTGATCTTTAAACTATTATATAAATTTTGATTTGATCTTTATTATTTATCAATTTACTTCAAATTGATTTTTTCATATAAAAAATAACTTATATGTTTTATTATTAACATTATATATGGCTATTAAATAACTATTATTTATCATTAAGTAATTGATGCGTCAACTGTTTTTTATATGGAATGATTAACTTGAGACTAAATTAATAAATTGTAAAAATCAAATAAAAAATTTATATAATAATTCAAAGACCAAATTAAAAACTTTTTTAATTCAAAGTTTAAATCCGGATCCATATAATAGTTAAAAAATTAAATTAAGAATTTATAAAAGCAAAAAACGAGGATTGGTATTGTAGCACAATTCTCGAAGCAACTTATGTTTACAACTAAGTTGAGTGTGTGTGGGGCTGTTGCCAGTTGCCAGTTGCCACGCATGCTTTTGTTAATGACACGTAAATTAATGCTCTCCAGGTCAAAGGAAAAAAAGAGTAAAAAAAAAAAAAGATACATAAATTAATAGTACCTTTTTTTATTTAATTTTAAGATTTTAAATTTAATTTTTTAAATATTGTTATCCCAAAAAATCTCCTTGACACGTGGTAGATGAAATGGCGTGTCACTTGCTTTGCTCAAAACAAGAAAGATTTCTCCGACGATCCTCTCTTCTTTCCAAGCGTGGAACTCAGCTTGTGAGTTGATGGAAGAACGTCGTGAATTGCAGCAGAAACGAGGGATGAACTTCCTGCACTAAATGGGTTATTCGACAAAATGCCCTAGATATGATTTTAGGGACTCCTCAAAGCTAATGTAATCAAGAAAAGTTAAGACTGCAAGGTAAATAAATTATCGCTAAACTACTGAAAATCTAAATGAATTTTAAATACGTAAACTGAATTGAAACAGGGCTTTAAAAGGAAATTTAATTGCAGTAAAAGTAAATTAAGTTAAAGTAAATAAAACCCGAATCATGAAAAATCTACTGGCAGCATGAAATGTAAATTAACAGAAATAGAACTGAACATGAAATTAAATGTCGACATCATTTGATTAAATTAAAGGAAATCTGGAAAACAAATATAAAGGAAAGGAAGCAATCCGATTACAAAGAAATATTACTGAAGGCAGCGAAACTCACCATTACAAATTCGACAAAAGAAGAACTGAATTGCTAAACTAATCTAGGTTGAAGCGTAGAGCTGAAATTAAATTAAAGGGCTTGAAACTAAGATGAATATGTGTATAAAGAGAAATTATGCTGAGTTTGTTGTGTGAGATGTCGATCCTTTGCTTGATCTTATCATTAGGTATTTATAACACCTTGGCAGCATGGTGGAGATCTGCGGCAGCTGAAAAACCAACGGCAGCGTAATATCTGTAACAAATTGATTAATTTGTTGGTGCTGCGATTATCCTCCTGAAAGCTCGTAACAAAAGAACGGTTTTGCTGCCGTTATGGAAATAACCACTCAATCTCATCTGAAGAAATTCACACCAACTAATAAAATATCTGCCATCATGAGTGACACGTAGCAGCACTTCATTTGTTGTAAAATTAGGTGTAAACAAATATAAATTTTAAATAAATATTTAATATAATATATAAATAATAAATAAAAATTTTTATTAAATAAAATTACTTAATAATAATTACATATAAAAGAATTTTAATTATAAAAATTATTAAATTAAAATTATTAAAATTAAATAAAAAAATAATATTTAGTACTAGTAGTTTTATTTATTTATTTATTTTTACTTAGGTGGACCTTTTTACCCGTATATTCTAATCTTGATGCAGAACAGCAGCAAAAAAAAAAAAAAAAAAAAAAAAAAAAAAAAAAAGGTTCTAAAATTTTGCAGGAAAAACCCACAAAAAGCAACAGCTATCAAATCCTCCCTAAATCGAAGTACATGATACTCCTCCCCCCCCTCCCTTTTTTTTTTTTACAAATGAGTTGTTTTCAACATCTATTTTTTTTTCTTTTACAATAAAATCAATTATCTTGTAATTTGATTTTTTTTAAATAGATGGTCAATTTAATAATTTCATAGAATACTGTTTGTGAATTATATGGACAAAATGGTCAATTCAATGTAAACACGTTGTAGTCCTGTACATATCAATTTCTTAATTCATAGTTTATTTAATACTTTACATATTTCATTAATGCTTCTGGTTCGTGAAAGTGAGTACCACACCACCTGTTATCATCAACAGTGAAGATTTCAACGCCATGGCCATGGGATCTTCATCTTCATAAACAGGTCTCCATCCCCACTGTTTGGATTGCAGCACAAATACATTTTAATCATAAAACTACTTCTTTTCTGGATGATTAACCTCTGCTAGCTTCACCATTTTTCTTCAGGTAAGCTTCTCTGTGTTATATAATTTTGTGACTAGTGTCTCTACTTTGAGATAATAGAAGTTGAGGATGATATAATGTAGATTGTTGAGGAGAATGAGATACATGGTGGGGTTAGATGGATTTCAGTAATATTTTAGTTGGGGGGGGTGGTTAGCATAACAAAACCAAAAAAACCTGCTGCCTTTTTAGTATTTTTAGTAGAGTTGTAATCATATATCCCTCTACTTGAGCTCCACCTAATTTTAATCAGGAATGAAAAGGGTGGCTCTTTAATTATGATATTTGGGACACCAACTGTGCTCACCCTCTTCCCCTCATAATGACTGTTTTTAATGCTTCGTTCAATCCCTTTTGGTCCCTTGTCCCTACTTCAGACCCAAACGTACATTTGTTTTTGTTTCAAGCTCTTTCCTCTCTTGTAAGGATCTCTGTTATTTTTAATTTGGATGTGGGTCATCTAATCTCTTTTATTTTTATTTTTATTTATTTATTTATTTTATTTGGTTTATAATGATTGCTGTAGAGTTTGGTTACGAACATCAATGGTAGTATGTGGTATTGGTGACCTTCTCTACTACTGAGTACCGTTACAGGCAAAAATTGCAGATGTCATCTCTCTTGACCCATTGTTTGTTTCTTCACCATTGTCCCATCTGTGAGAATTGAGATAGTGATATGCGTTGAGCCTTGAAGCTTCCCTTGTTAAATCACAGCTTTCAAATGCATTGCCTTTGACTTGGGTAATACTATTTCCACTTTATTTATGGGTCAATTTCTAGACGTGATGTGATCCTTCACTTTTCTACTTTCTTTGTATTTTGCTTCTTTTGTTGCCTTTTTTATGCTAAACTTCGTGGTTGTGATTTCTTAGATTTTCTGCAACTTTTTGGAATCAAACAAAGAAGAAGATGATGGGTGTGAACTCCCGTTCCTCCTCCTCTCATTGTCCTTCTCCTTCACGCTTTAGCTCACCAAGGTAAGCCCTTGCAATTTGCAAGACTATAATCTTTCCTCTGCGCATTTTCTTTGCCGTGTCCTCTCAGCAATGGTTTTGATTTTCTTGCAGAGTTATTGATAATGGGGGTTTCCAAAACATACTAAATGTATCACCTAGATCATCTTCGCAGTCAAATCCCGTAAGTGTCTTTGCATTATGCTTTCGTGAAGTATATATTAGTTACAAAATTCCCACTGGATTTTGCACATTTGCGACTTTGTAGTTGCTTTCAGTTGCGGTGTTTGTCCTGGCCTCTTCCAACTTTCCTCTTTTGTGTTCTCCCTGTTGGAGATCTTAGATCTAAGAAATTGTTAAGAAGTCAGAAGATGTTACTGTTCTTCACAGTGCAAGGCCATTCATTTAGGAGGAAAATTTTCTTACCATGAAGATCATACGAACCTTATGTAGCCACCATCAACTTGAAGGAAAAAAGCTGATTATTAAATTTGTACAATTTATATTCTCTGAGATATCCTTATATAAATTGGGGTTATGGCCAAGGTTTCCGTACGAATTGTAGCTGGAGTTTGTCGTAGGCTTGTATTCCTGTTACAACAAATTGATAAACCAGGACCTCCTTGCTTACCTTATTTTCCTGTATAAAAGGATTTCTCTTCAACCTTTTAATGGAATAGCTGCTTCATTTAATTTGAGAAGCTGATTGCTTTAACAGCTTTGTTTACTTATACCATTTTTCACTTTGTACGTTGTGGCACAGACTCCACGCTTGGACAGGTCATTAGCTGATCAAGCTTCCTTGTATCCTGATTCCTGTAAAAGAATTGGATATGGCTCCATAGAATCTGTTCCTTCCAACATGTCATCAGAGAAGGTTTTCATACCATCCCTACTTCTGTCATCAATTATGAGAAAATGATGATAATCAAAGTATCTTGATATCCAGAATATCAATATCATTCTGCAAGCTAGCTAATATTATCTTTATCATCTGTGTTGGCTTTTGGTTGACCTTTCCACTTTACCTTTGAACTCTTAAATGCAGTCATCTCTGGAACTAAGAAAGGAGATTGCCACCCTTGAGTTAGAAATCTTGCATTTGGAGCGTTATCTTCTCTCCTTGTACCGGACAGCTTTTGAAGAGCACCTACCAATCTTATCAAATACTTCTGGAAGTCCTTTAAAATGTATGTCAGAGTCATCATTGTCTATGGAAGCAAATCGGTTGCACCACAACTTGCAGGCACCGGTGGAGATACTGGTACATCATGATAAACCCTCCCCTTCCCATGAGTCATCCATTTCTGATAGCCAGAGTTGTTCCTCCAGTTTTAATAAGGCAAAATCCATAAGGGTAAGCGTGATTTATCATCTCTTGTTGTTCTCCCTGCTGCCTATTTTACCAGCTTTCTTTTTCTTATTTGTCATATGCTTTATGTTGTAATGTGCCATTTTCATGTATCCATCTATGAACACATATAATTTAAGTTACAAATTCATCTATTTCTTTTATCCATTTATAAAGGCATGCAAATTCAAATACAAATTCATCTATTGTAAGCACGTGCAGGAGCAAAAAAATCCTTATTCTCGCCATCAGAGTCTCGCTGATCACCTTGGTGCCTCTCTTGTAGACAACAAATTCTACACCCCTGATAAACTTTCTGAAGACATTGTGAGATGCATATCTTCTATTTACTGCAAGTTTGCAAGTGTCCCACGTGCTAATGCAGGCTTGCCAGCTTCTCCTATTTCTTCATTGTCCTCCTCAAGTATATTTTCGTCTAAGAATCCTTGTGACAGTTGGAGTCCACTTTGCAATGAGGAAGAAGCAGCAAATAATCATGGGTTGAAAGAAGAGAGTGGACTGCATGCCGCAGCAATTGAGGTTCTGAAAATATGTCTAGATGATGATAGTTTCAATTTTGCTGCTGTCATGCTACAAAATTTCAGGTGATCCACAGTCACCTACCTATCATCTAGCCCAACTAATGTATATAATTGTATGATAGATCAGATGTTCCCTTTTCAATTTTATCTTCCAAATATTTACAATAAAAGAGAAAGATATTGGGGGTGGGAGAGAAAGGAAAGCTGACTAGGTTTTAGACTGTCAATTAAAAAGAACTACAGTGATCTTCCATTTTACTTTGTTTATAGAGAATTGAAATTCCTAAATCCAAACAATTATTACCATTGGGACTTGGCATCCTTTGGAGGGAAGCAAAAACTATCTTGAAGCAAAATGAACTGGTGGTAAGACGAAGAACGATCCGAGTTGCACCATGCAGAACATTTTGGTGCTAGCTTTCACAGAAGAGCTCTGCCTCTTATATCTATCTGCTGCTGTGTTCTTTGAAAATTTCTCAGTTATGTTTGAATTATGCAGGTCTTTGGTCCGGAATCTCGAGAAGGTTGACCCCAGGAAGATGAAACGTGAAGAGAAGCTAGCATTCTGGATCAATATTCACAATGCCTTGGTGATGCATGTATAGTTCTATTTATCAACTTCAGAAGCCACAAAATTTCCTCTTTTTTTCTTTCCTTTTGCAAAGTGTCATAGGCTGTTAAAAGCAATTGCATTGATGGTCCTTGCCCTATAGAGGCTTCTTTGGGCAGAGGGAGCAGCTCTTCATGTGTGCTAGGAAACTCAAAGCACTAGGTTAAATTTGTGATGTTTTCTTGAACAATCTCTGTCCTCCTCCTACTTCAATGCTCCCTCTGCCACCACTATAGTGTACTAGTAGCCATATATAATGGATCTAAATGTACTGTAACTGTGGTCTGAACACTGAATTTGATGTTCTGATGTTATCATATGTATGTACTTTCTAACTAGAGTTTCATATCCAATATGACTTGTGGAATTTTGCAGGCATACTTGGCATATGGAACTACAAATCATGTAAAGACTACCTCCCTTATGAAGGTTGAGCATTGTTAAAACAGTTTTTTTTTTTTTTTAATTACCTTTTATCAATGTGTTTGGGACAATTACCCCTTTTTAAGTACAGCTTATATGTTTCAATCTCATATTTCAGGCAGCATACAATGTGGGTGGACAATACATAAATGCATACATTATACAAACCTCAATTTTAGGGATTCGGTCACATTACTCAGCACCGGTATGCCACTTATTTAAAGATCATCTGTATCCTCTATAAAGTTGTTTACCTGTATATAGACAATCATAAATGGACCAAATATATCATGCAAAGAGACTCCAATCCTAATTGGAAAGTGTTCAAATTTCTGTTACACCTTGGTGCATGTATAGTTGCTAGGCTGTGGGATTCTGGTGCCTGAACTTTGTGGATGACTACTACAAATGAAAGTATCAGAGTTGAAAATCATGAGAAGGGATAAAGTTTGACGTGATTGCTATCTCTTCCCTGTTGACCAGCAATTGGTACATGTACTCATTAGAGGCATTTTTTCATGGGAATTTACTTTGATCTGTTATTACCATCTATGAAACCAACTGTACTGGGTTACAGTCTTAATTATCTAAGATAAGGAAGAAGAAAAATGGTGCATATATTTGAAATAAAAATTAGGAGTATTTCTGCCTTTTCTCTGCATTGGATGAAAAAATAACATTCTAATGAAGTGACTTTTTTTGGTATACAAGCAGTGGCTGCAAACACTATTTTCTCCTGGAAGGAAGTCAAAGACAGCAAGCTACAAACATGAATATGCCTTTGAGTATCCTGAGCCGCTTGTCCATTTTGCACTTTGTTCAGGGACATTCTCTGATCCCATGGTGAGAATGTTTCTATTTTGAGTGAAATATTTTTCTTATAGTATCAATGTATAAAACTTGAAGCAATGATTTCAGATTTGTGAACATGCCTATTTCTACTTGTGTGTTGTTTGAATTAATGGAGGAACAATTTATGGAATAGGTTCGAGTTTACACATCAAAGAACATATTTAAGGATCTCAAGGTTGCCAAAGAAGAGTTCATTCAAGCTAGTGTCTACATTCACAAGGAGACAAAGATTTACCTACCTAAAATTGTTTACTACTATGCAAAGGACATGTCACTGGATGTGTGTGATACATTGGAGGTAGTAAGCGAATGCCTCCCAGAAGTCCAACAGAAAGCAATCCAGAAATGCATGAAGGGAAGGCCTGACAGGCACATCCATTGGTTACCTCAGAGTACAAACTTTCGGTATGTCTTCCAAGGAGAACTGGCTGAACAAAGACTAAATGCCTGATAGTGATAGGATGGATATTACTATATTCCATTATTCTTTAAGCAAAATAAAGTTGAAATTATATATGTATGTGAGCTGTATAGAACTACTAGAAAGAAAAGAGTTTGAGGATATGGTGTTGGTTTGTCATTTGTACAGTGATTTTTAGGGCTAATCATAAAGAATCTGGTGTTTATGATGATTTATTTGTAGGGAAAGAGAAGAAATTTTTTTTAAAAAATTTTTTAATAAAAATTTAAATTTTTTATTTATAAATAATATTAAAAAAAATAAAAATTCTAACAAGTTACACCAAA